ACGTCATCAAACAAATGACGCTTCACAACGACGAGATCACCAACTACCAAGACAGTAGCATGATCACTGCTCTAGAAGCAGCACATCGCATTCTTAAAAATGAAGATTTGACTGACAGTTGGCCTCCGAACAGCGACGTAAAGAACTAAAACATCAGAACTATTTAAGAAATGAAGAAAAGTGAAAGAAGACGTTATCAACTACTTGAAGTATCAACACCAACAAATAAGTTGATACTAATAATACTACTCATTCAAGTTATAATACTCATTCGATATATTACGATTACGAAAACTGACTTTATGATCGATTTTTTTATTTTAGAGAAAGCGCTCCGAAAGGAGCGCGTTGCTCTAGTAAAGAATGTAATTTAACGCGACACCTTACACTTCTATAAGTCGCCATTACAAATCAAGGGCATGATGCCAGAAGGGCGTATCAACAAAATGACTGATTAACAGGAGACTAAATTCCTACGCTTATTTGGTTAGACAGTTGTGCGTTATTAGTGTTCATACACCCACGTGCAACGAAATTCCTGGATCTCTGTGTAGAAGGGCATCGGTAAAACACTATTTTACGTCGTTAGACCACATATCTCCGATTATGCAAATACGCCGGTACACTCTTCTGGCATGAAGCCCTCGAAATTATTCTAACTTGACAGCGTTAGTTCATTCTGCATCATATCCACTTTGTGAAGCACGTGACACTAGGTAGTAGTTCTTCCACAGAAGAAACAGCTGATAACACAAGACACCAAGACGATACTTACAGCGAAAACAAAACGCCCAACGTCTTTGTAACCAGCCCCATGACGAAAATCGTAAAGATACAGCGACGACAGCAGCAGCAGCGCCCGGGACCGTCGCGGGACACGTCTTTCTGTTTACTGGCGAGCAATCGTCCCTGTGCGTCGACACTTGAGGGTCGAAGGGAAAAAGCAATGGCCCCTACACACAGCTCTGCAGCGCCTCAGACTTTCCTTCATACACGGGGCAACCCTCGAAGACGAGCAGACACACAAACGGACGGCCGGAATCAGCACAAGCGATACGACGATGTTCACATTAATAATATTTAAGAACTCACTCCGTACCGCGAAGAAAACACAACAACTTCATTTCAAATGACAACTGGTTGACGCTGTTTAAGGAAATAATCCCTGTTTACACTGAGAACAATACGAAACCCATAGATACGAAACGTAGAGTTATTAACCGTGTGAAGCAGGTGGTACATATAGTTACCACTAGGTCTTAAAGGGTTAAGGGAAAACAATCATCAGATTCATAAGAAAGCCCACAAATGCACTATGTTCAAAGCACGTGGTACATACGCTTTAAAGGGTTGAATACGAAAAACTGAGGTGGGAGCGAGTTCCTTAGTACTGTAGCCTCCAAAGACAAACTTTAGAGAGTCCCAGGATCCCAGTGTCCACCACCCTGTGATAACCATAAAATGGTAAAAATTACCCTGCCTCAAGCAGAGATACAGTTTTATTTATTTAGGATTCTGCACCTACACGGTTCAGAGTTCGCACTTCGGTAGAGAACAGTCACCGAGATTCGAATGCCATGCTTTGTTAAGACGACACGACTCTCCCGGTCCACGGTGTAAAGTCTTTCCTGACAAGCTGATAGTAGCTCAGCAAAGCCAACAAATTCACGGATCTTACAGAACCTGAAGGCTCATTACCGTGTTCACAAAATTCCGTCATTCAACCCCACGCCACATCAGGCAAGTCAGTCTAGGTGCAGTTGGTCCGCTGTACTTCCTGGAGGAGCTTGACGGGAGGGGCAGGGAGGTGTGTGTGTATATATAGCCCCAATTCATTCATGCCCGCCACATCAGGCAAGTCAGTCTAGGTGCAGGTGGCCCCCTGCACTTCATGGAGGAGCTTGACGGGAGGGGCAGAGAGGTGTGTGTATATATATAGCCCCAATTCATTCATGCCCTAGCCGGGATTGACCCCCTGCGCCAATATGTTAGGGGGGGGGATCGGTAAGGAAACTGAAAAAGAAAATCCTTTGGTCCTGTCGGGAATCGAACACCGTACTCATATAAGAAAATCACCGTCTGTTGCTTCATACTTCAAGCCCGATTCTCTCACTAATACAACGCAATGACAAAACATATTAGGCTTGAAAATGGTTTAGTCTGGTACAAAATTTACCGACGCCCTGGTGACGGAGACAGCAACAAACTAGAAGACATCCATCTTCATACTCGCCGTCGTGAGGACCTGAAACCTCACTACAGAGCCCAAAGTTTCACACCCGTACAAAACACGAAGGTGCACATCGAAAGTTCTGTGCGTCTTAACAGTACCACGCGAGGCGAACAACAGCTCGTGGTGGTGGCAGAATCTCAACGCGAAAATGAGGAGCGACTCGACCCTCCTCGATGCGTACTATTTATACGCGACGGAGGAGTGCAGTCGATGCAGAGGTTACACTGCATTTCACGGATAAAAGTTCTCGTTTAGGCATTCAGGGCACATACAGTCACTATAAAAATTACGTACGATTTCAGGAAGTAAAATAAGAATGCCTTTTAATTTCGCTTTCGTCAGATATGTAAGAAGTGAACACTTTATCTTCTCTCTTCTTAAATCCATATCTCCTACAGACTCAGCGTTATTCAACGCAGTTATTTTCATTTGTGCTATTTCAAATGACTCTAGCGCTCACGACTAACTCTCCAGGAGATCGACTGAGAGTTTTGGTGGCAAGACAAGTCACGAAAGAGCAATTCCTCGCAACAACTTCAGAACCGTCGAACAAGTTTTCACGAAATTTGGTACTGTGAATTTCTACTAAACTTTGTCGAAAAAACATTGCAATTTTGGTTAAAATCGTAAAACAATACCAGGCCCTTCACATGCGCATGCAAATAGCTGGGTTGAGAATCCCACAGTGGAAAATTCTTTGCCAAGCGCGCAACCCTGGCGTCGGAATCTCCGGGAGATCCTCAGAGATCTTCCCACCAGTAGCACTGACAGTGCCTGCAGTGTTACTGCAGAGAAATTCGACAAATGCTGGAGGCAGCAAGGACCTGGCGCTACAACTCAGAAGACATCCATCTTCATCGGATATCGTTTCTTAATAAGACACACCCCCCCCCCTCCAAAGCAATGTTTTTTTCTGAATATCAAATTCCTATTGGTAGTACGGAGATCAAAATGTTATTCAGATGCTGGAAGGTCACACTACAGGCTTATTCGCAATTTCCACGCCGAACCTCATGTTTTGAAGGCGCTGCACACAAAACCCCATCCCTCATGTGAACTTGTGGGAGCGGGTAAGAAAAACACATCTAGAGCGTGAGAAAAACTGGTGGGTAAGGTAACCGCATCTCTCGTCAGTGCAAGGGAACCCTCCCTTCGGTCCTTCTGCATTGCATCTCGAGACGCGCTGTTAACACAAGGAATAAAAGGGTGACACAAATGGCAGGTGTTCTGCACATTTCTTTACGCTGGGGGGTGGGGGCGACCGCTGTGCAGGAAGACGAATCTGTTACACTTTTGATGGTTTTTCTAGCTCACGCAGTACTTCTCAGCCACTTCCAAGCACCACGCCACAAACGCTAAAGTTCCATCTCAATTCAGCCCTGAGGAAGGAGGCGGTATGTTCATCTGAAACGTTGGTACACATCTACAAATCCACGAGGTGTCATAATCCAGAAATCCAACATGGACATCTTCACCGCTGGGAGAACCACAACTCTGAAAATCACTGCTCTTACCGGAGATCAAACCACGGTAGTCTAGGGTGTGGTAAGTTCACCTGTTCGATATTCTAGTTCGTTTTCAGCCACTCTGCCTCAACATAATACCACGAAAGCGTATGGGGAGCGTGGAGGTTACGTGTCCGTCATTCTCGCACTACTTCGAGGGCCAAATTCCTGTCTCTTTATTCTCCTTCAGATCTCGGTACTCACGGGATATGAGACTGGACGGACCACAAAGCCTTTGTGCATGTTTCCGTGGAGAGAATCTGGAAATGACTCGTCTTCTGTGTTGTTGGTCACATACGAGACTACACAGAGTCACAACCCAGAAGACCACAATCCAAATCTAAGCTCAGATAATGCAGACAATTCCGTGCCCGCTAATATCACAGCTGACCTCTTAGGTCTTAGCTTAATGGATTGACAGGCGGGTTGGATGGAGATGTTTACGTGGCCATCAACCTTGACTACGACTTGTTTATTGACGCTAGGTACCCAGGTACTGTAAAACCCGGGCTCTAGAATGGGGGAAGTGAGGTTAGTGCAAGGACAATGACACAATAGAGCAGACTGCCCTCCGCCCCAAAATGGAAATCGATCGTAAAAACAGGACCGAAGCCTGTCCAACACAAAGCAGTTTTATTTTGACCAGAAACTGATATTGTGTAAAGACTTTCTCTGCGGCTGTCGCCGAACACAAATTTTCAAGTAGGTAAAGACCCCGTGTGACGCAGACACGTAACAAGTTCATGTTTGGAACCCAACCGTTTGTTCTCGAATTAGACGTTTCAGGAATGATAATCAAAATCAAAACTTGTGTTGGTGTCAGCGGCGGTCGGCGAACGGATTTCAACAAAATTCAACACCGGAAGCCACCTCTAAATAAAATAACACTCGCACCTCTTAAGCTCATGGTTGCCTTCCGGGATGCTGGGTCGATTTCCAAATAGACTACACAGCGCTACAACCCAGAAGAATCCTAATTGTAACTAGCGTATTCAAAACAAGGATAAGATGGGCGGGATATGTAGCACGGATAATGAGAATCTGTAGCAATGTATATAACACCAACTGGGAAATAAATGTGTAGATGAGAGATTTATATTAAAACGGATTTAACATAATTAAGGACCGAGGGCGTGCAATGTAATAACTGACCCAACGTAGGGTCTAGAGGAGAGCTCCTGTAAATAAGGTAATGAACTTTTCGGGTCCCATAAAAGCCGGGGACTTGCCCAGTAGAGTCCAGGCTGTAAATCATCTCTCCCCTAAAAGGTCTTCCACTTGGTGTTGGTTTTCGTTGCACTATGTTTTGAACATCTTTATTGTCTTAGTCTTACTGGTGACATTTCGTTATCTGCAGATGCAATGTACCAGATTTTACCTAGGTCACTGATTCCTCGGATACATTTCTTTAATCGTTGATTCCGATATATAAAACACAATTACACATTAACATTACATTTCGAAACCTAATTTATGTTTTGAAGATGGAGACAGTATCTTCCTCCGAAACGCTGATAACCACGTACAAAGTTCACATGCCCTTACAACCCAGAACAAAATCGACAACTTCACGGCTGTGAAGTTGTCTTTTCGTAAAAGTGGATGGAAGAGACAATGATCTAGTTCTGGTCGAAGTGGAATGTGCGAGGCTTCGGGTCAGTGACCGATCGTCTCCCTGGGAACATAAATCGCCACCCGAGTGTTTTTCGCCTTTACAGGAAGGGTTAGTTGATCTTTACTCCAACAGCCCACAGTCCGCACGCCTGCAGAGGCTACCTGAATACTATTCATGAGGCCCATTTCATAACATTCGCAACTTCGCTCCAATTGTGTTAAAATTTCTTCAGCTCCGGCGATAGTTATAAAAATATGTTTGTCGAATTTCGAGTCTCGAAACTGGAAATGGCCACCGAATTACTCTCGCCTCACTGCCTACGTTAAACCCGAACAATATTACAGAAAACAACGAAGAAGAGTCCTTGAGAAGCTGATACTCGGTCAGCTCATCAAAAAACTGCCCGCCTCTTACAAAACCACAGATGCAACGAACGTATTCATACAAGAATGCCACTG